CCGGAACGCCCAGGGGAGGGGGGTGGGATGTGCAGGTGTGAGCGCACCTGGCTGCCGCCGTGCCCCGGGGTACGCGCTCCCAGCGGTGGCAGGTGAGGAGAGGCAGACAGGCCGCAGGGACTTTGAACCTTGGGCACACAGGGGACGGTGGCAGCAAGGTTAAAACACATCGCAGAGAGGCAGGAAGAGCCAGGCGACAAAGCGGAGCTGTCACCGGTATCGCGAGGGACCTGTGCCAGCCCCTGTGTTCATCAATGACCTAGAAAAGGCGGGAGTGGTAACATGAGAAAGCCCGCTCAGTGCATTTCAGTAAGGCTTTGCTGGCTCCCAGCTCAGACCTGTGACACCACGATCCGTATAGGTGCTGCTGCACGGGGATGCTACAGCCAAGGACGGAGTTAAGTGCTCCAGGAAAAGCTGGGGTCACCCGGAGTGTGGTTTAGGGACAGAGTGGATGAGACAGGCAAGGGATGCCCCTAGGCTTCTTACTCTGGTCCTCTGTGCCAGCCGGCAGAGCCAGGATGGGTGCCAGGTGAGGAGTCCTAGCTGGTGCCTTGGCTTGGCCATAGTGGTAGTTGCAGCAGGAGAGGGGGATTGACAAAGCCAAGGGATTCAGGGTGTGGAAATCTCCACCTGCTTCTTTCATTGAGGGTAGCAGTACTGGAGCCAAGCATGGTTCTGGGGGGTTCTTGCTGGTCTGATACTGGGGAGAGAGAAGGATCAAAAAGCCAGGAAGTGGGATGTTAGCTATCTTGGGATAGAAGGAGGATGTTAAGCAGGGAAAAGACAGGCTGCAAAGAGAGGTAGGAAAGGATGGATGTGCCTGATTTGGGACAGGTTAGTAAAATAAAACAGAGCAGACCACCTGAGGACATGGCTGTGGAGGAAAGAAAGAACCCGTGCATGCAGTGCGGAGAGTGCTGCAGTACAATAATATTTCCTTTTTCTTCCAGATAACCAAAATAAATAATCAGAAGAAAACAGGAGGCAGGAAAAACAACATCATTGAGAAGAGAGAGGACTTTGCTCAATTTCACACCAGTTTCAGACATCATGCCGGTATGGGGCATCAGGATGATCTTGTGTAGACCTCCCTTTCTGGCCACTGTTGGAGAAGAGGACACTATACTAGTGTCATCTTCTAACAACCAGGAATGGTTGTTATTGTGAGACACACTGCAGGCTAGCTTCAGAAGCTGTGAGCTCAGAAAGCTCTTAAGCAAGATGTTACTTACATATGTAACTCCTGGTAAGTCTTTTCTGTGAACCTGTCCAGACTACAGCCCACATAACTTCCAGCCAGCCAGTAGCAAAGTGTTCCTAATGTTCAACTTACCTGATCTGTGTATGAAGAATCACCTTCTGTTTGACTGAACCCAGATCCCATTTCATTGATTCCCCTCACTTCTTGAAATGAAAGAGATAGTGGTCATCTAGTGCAGCCTCCTGCAGAGTCAGCATTGAATTTAGGCCAGGTGGCTCAGGCCTTTGTCCAGGTAAGGGTGTGAAAATGCTCCAAGGACAGAAATTCCACAGCCTCTCTTAGCAGCTTATTCCTATGTTCTTGCGGTGAACATACTTTCATTATATCAAGTTAGAAACTCCCTTTTTCGATTTGTCACCCTTGTCATATGACCAGATATTGAGTTGATGCATCATGTTGCCTGTGGTATTAGCATATTATCACATACATCTGTTGATTGCAGGCAAATACATTATTGAAAAAGCATGTTTTATTATAGTAACTTGCAGAGCTCTATTCTAAAAATAAGATCAAGATGAAAACTTAGTCTAGATTCATACAAGTTCACAAGCTGACTTGTGTTGGGCCTATCAGGGTTTATGATTTAGATCCCTGGAGGAAGAATGCCTCCAGGCATCATTCATTAATAAGATTACCAGATTCTTCTGATTTTTCCTTTCTTTTTTTTGTTTTTCCAGGCTCTGGTTCCAGTCCTCCCTGGCTGATCTCGGCCACTTTTCTATTACATATCATTCATTGCTCTCTAGAGGCACTGTGGGGAAGAAACCATTTGAGGTAAAATTAGGAATTTAAGGCCACAATATCAGGAACTCAGCTAAAGGTTGTGAAATATGTTCTTCAACAACATTAAGGGTCTAATAAAAGGTGTGAGACTTGAGGCCCCCTTCGTTGATAACTGGGTAATTCAAGGAGACGTGGTTCCTGAATACTGCAAGTTTGAATCCACATATGGCAGCTTTATAGAAATCTGTTACTGATGTTTCTTGCTCTGTCTGCATCCCCTGGGAACACTTTGGATGAATTCATTAATTTTTTTTCTGCCTTGGGAGAGCAGTGGTATATATTTTAAAGTATGTCAAAATCTGTATATACACTTTCACAGAAACATAGAATCACAGACTGGTTTGGGTTGGAAGGGACCTTAAAGATCATCTAGTTCCAACCTTCCCATCGTGGGCAGGGACACCTTTCACTAAACCAGCTTGCTCAGAACTCCATCCAACCTGGCCTTTAACACTTCCAGGGATGGGGCATCCACTGTTTCTCTGGGCAACCCATTCCAGTGCCTCACCATCTTCACAGTGAAGAATTTCTTTCTAGTACCTAATCTAAACCTGCCCTCTTTCAGTTTAAAATTGTTACCCTTTTTCCTATCACTACATGCCTTTGCTATTTCCAGAGTAAAATCACTGAATATGAACATCCTTTCTACGTCCTTTCCTTTCTTTTCAGCCCTTGCCCTTACAACCCAGCTTCACCCTGTCAATGGCAACATCCAAATCTTTTCATTTTCTCTTTTTTCCACTTCTGTTACACACATCGTCACCCCTTGCACAACTTAGGTCTGCATGTTTCCCTGCACTGTTTCAACCCTTCATATGCTATAACTTTTCAACAAAACATGGAGTAGGAATCTGCAAATAATGCTGGAAACACTATATAATAATAATAATAAGAATAAGAATAATAAAGAATATATTCCATCAGTCACAATTAGATCCAGTGCCTAGGAGGTTACAGAATCACATCTGGACTTCAGGCTGCCTTGTACTCTAATGATCTATTTCCTATTTTCCTGAGAATTGAATACAATTGAATTTGATGGCTTAGAGGCTGCTGCTGTTTCAGGAAACTTAAATGAGGTACAATGCATAGAAAAGCCTGCTAGTTATGACTTTTTCATCATGGCCTGTACATTTTATAAAGGGCAAGCACAATCTATAAAAGCTGCAAGGCCAGACCAGAGCCAGAGCATTTGAGGAGCATTGAATTTCAATTATTAAATCTTGGTTAAGAAAGTTCATAAGCCATAATGCAAAACATGTAATATGCCTTTTAGCATAATTTTGCAGCTCTGCTCAGAACAGCTGAGAATAAAAACCACAAAAGGTTTCATGGTAAGACAGATTAATTTGCAAGACAATTTCAGAGCAATTCATTTTCTGATTATACTGAAATATAGGTTATGCAACCAAATAGTTCTTCAAGACTGTGCAGTGCAATTCCCATCCAGCAGTGGCAAGTGCTTAAGAGACTAGAAATCAATACCCTGATTCTTATAGGTAGAAGAATATGTTAATCAGATGATAGGGAAATACAAAATATGAAAGAGGTCCTGGAGGCATTAGGCAAATCCACGTTCCTGGAAAATTTTCAGTGCCATTACTCCAAAACTACAATGCTTTTTCAGAGGATGGAAAAACTTCACTAAGGAATCATTATGGAATATTTGTTCAAATTGGGGAAAACAACTTTCAACTGTTGGATTCCCAAACAACACGGGAAAAAGCCATTTCAGGAGAACAGTACTAATGATTCCAAAAATAGCACAAGAAGAGGAACAGATTCCTTTGTCCTTGGCTAACTCAAGGAGATTTGCTGAGGTCCCCAATTGCTGCAAATTTGAACCCACAAAAAATGGTAGACTTCACACACTTCCAGATAGCTTGCCTTCAAAAGGAATTAGAGAGAAAAAGGGAATATATGTAATGGGTTACTTAATGTCAGTAATTCAGTAAAGAATAAAAATATTAGTATATAACAGAACTCTCCAATAATTCGGAAGAGAAGAAATGGCCATGCACAGCTAATACCTGTGTCATGCTGTAGGATGAAAGAGCACTATAAAGAGAGGATCAAACATACAGAAAGATTTGCTTTATTTTCGAGTCTCAAGTCCAAAAGTTGTTTACAACAAGAAGAGGACAAAATAAAAATATTCAAGTCAAAGAAAGACCAAATATTACCTTACTGGATAAGGAAAGCAAGCAAGATAACAAAAAGATCATTATTGTATTATTTCAAAATTAAAATGCAGTTGATGGGATTTAATACATACCAATCAATTTTTTTTCCATGTTCATCCATGTCAGGGCAAGTAGAAATCAGCTTGATTTATTCAAGATAAATTTGAAGATAGAAATAAATAGAAATATTCCCAAATATAATGAGGAGCAAAACTGCTAGGAATGTCATGGCATTTCCTTCATCACCAGTTTCTGAAGGCTGGCCCAGACAAAGCTTCTGGCAGGGAGATTCTCAGTATACTTATTTTGGTTTAGATCAGGAACTATGAAGAGATGACCTCACAAGATCCCTTTTAGCCTGGATTTCTATGAAAACAAAAGCTGATTCAAAATGTTAAGAATTTTAGAAATAGGTGGATGTCTAAAATTGTCATTGCATGATATGTACTAAAGAACACCATTACTGAGCGGCTGACTAGTTCACAGGAAGAATTCATGGCAACCATTTGAATTTAAAGATTTCTGTTATTTGCAAGGAGAGGAAGGACAATCCCTGATGTAGTTAAGAAAGATAAGCAACTTGCACAATGGTACTCCTAATGACATGACTAAATATAGAGCCCATGCTCATTCCAGACCTGGAATGTTTTCAGTCAAAACTCATAATCCACAGAAGCCAGGAGAGCTTGACACAATGTAAGGCGGCAAGAGTCACAAGATAGGTACAAAAGTTAGGCACACCACCTGCAAGGCATCACTCAGTTCCAGCCTAAGTACTTTCCAGGACAGAATTAATACGTATTAATACAACACCAAATAAATCTTGAACAGAACTGAAAAGGTACTGTCACCAATAGACTGTGGTTTGGGTTTTTTGTAAGTACGACATTAAATGAAACATCTTTTGCATTTTGTGCACAGGACAATTTATGCTGTGGGGAAGGTGATGGCAAATGTTAGACAAAATAAGACTTTCAGAGCCTGTTTCCCTTGCAATAGATTGAGAAGTTTCCCTAAATTTCCATGGGACTAGTGTCAGGCAGTAAAGTTCTATGAGCACCAGAAGATAAATATAGCTGATAAAATAAGAAAGATTAAATAATGGTAAATCCATTGTTGAGGGATTTCCAAATACGGAAAAAGGAATTATTCATTTTCCTGGCCACTGGAAAGAATATAAACAAGTTCAAATTGTATCCACAGTTCCTTTGAGGAAGATATGGAGCATGACATTGTACAAGAATAGTTTTCAGGCTCACTGTGTCACTGTGATCTGACTGATGACTGCACACAGGCATCAGCCGAGACAGTGACACTGCTGAGCAAGACAGATGGGAAAATGACATTGAGAAGGCAACACTCGTGCTGCATAACAAATCCAAACTTCTCCTTCCAAACCATGCTGAACTCTCCTAGGAGTAAAAAAAAAATGGTAATTCTCTTTACTTAAAAGGTTTTGTTTTCCAAACCACTGTCAGTTTTTAAAAGTATGTTCACGCTGCAAGTACCCTTTCTGCAATTGAGAAGATAGCTTCAAAATAATTCTATTTTCCTTACAAATTTCCTTCCCGTTTAAAGATATCCTACTGTTTCGTCTTTTAGATGCATATATCTGAATATATCTAATTACCTCTCTCACCAGAATATCCAATTGTCCTAAAGAATTATAGTCATAGAATCGAGTTAAGCATGTCCCCTGAAATACACAAAAATGCATGCAAAAGCAAAAATGAATGAATGCATTTCCTAATTACTAAGTCAATTTACAATTTCCTGTCACACAAGCTTTTATGATTACTATATTTAACACAGTCCTATCGCTTCTTCTCTTCATTTTCTCTCTTTTGCATTTCACAAAGTCTCAATAATTTACATACCCAGCACCTAGGATACTCAGACTAAGATGTATTAATTAATTAATATTTAATTAAGAATTAAATAAATAGTCATAATTTTGTCATGGCACGTCTTATCATTCTAAACAGAGGTGGCAATAGTCAAATTGCTGCAAAGTGTTCAAGTTACTTGTAGAAGGGAGAAATACAGAAAAACAATTATGTGCCAAAGTCACTTACAAGATCATTTCCAGAAATGAAAATTTGTGGGTCTTTTTCTTATTTTTTTGTCAAAGGACGCTGTAAGCCTGGCAGCACGGAGAAGCCCTCAGTTCTTCAATATTGATATACCTGCAGCTGTCAACATTTGGTTTGTTTTAAAGCAGAGACTTGAAGTCATTTCCATATTTATGAACACAAACAGGCTCACTGTCATCCCATGGCTATGGACACCTGAGTATGAAGAAGATCCTTTTTTAAGGAACAGGACAAATGGAAAGACAGACATTACTGACCTCTGAGACTAAAAACTTCAAAATTTTAAATCAAACTGTTCAATTCTCTGATGTTTCCTCACAAATTTTGTGTTTTATTTCCTTCCCCAACATGAGATACCTCACTCCTTTATTCCCATCAAAGCTTTTTTTCCTCCAGCTTTGAGTCCATGACTGTTATTACCCCTTTTTTCCAGGCCCTCTGGCAACTACCATTACCATATTTGCCCCCTTTTTTTGGAATATTTTACATACCACATTCAAGGCAAGCAGAATGTCACATATTCCCAACCATATTCACTAAGACATTTTTTCTAAAGAAATTAAAGACCCCTGAATTCACTATCCAGTCTTCTCCTGAAGTTTGTTCTTCATTTGCTCTGCAATACCCAAAACCTCACCCCTGATTCCCCTTAATAGTAATACAAACTAACACGTTCAACAGGATGTTTTCAAATTTGAATGTGTCAAAGCCTTTGATGAAGCAGATTTTTACTTCATTTTTCTTAATAAACCCATAAATAGCTTGCTGCTGCTCGGTAGATCACTTAACACATGTCTAGGCATACTAATAGCAATCCCCAAACAAGACTCCAGACAAGATTCAATTTTAGCATCTTCTACCCTATCTTTCCAGAGATGTTACTTTCTCAGCATGCTTCTGACTCACCAAGGTGTCAGCCCTCTTCCTAAATAAGCTTTTGCCAGGCAGAACAATCTCTTCTGGCTGTGGTCTCCCAGTTCCTCTTTCTAAGACCTTTGCAGGAGAATCTGCTTGGCTCCAGAAGGAGATAACTGAGAGTTAACCATCCTCCTTGATTTTTCTGGTAACATGAAGTGTACATACCTCATCACAGCTTTTCAGTATCTGACTTCCTTCTGGTTTCTTCCTACTTTCTTGTACAATCCTAGAAAGTGTGCCTTCTTGACAATCCCCTACATCTCTTCTTGCCTCTTCCTATGCCGGGCTCAGGTCATTCCGTGGTTTTACAGTCTCCTGCTACATACCTGCATCCCTTCCACTCCTGGCTTCAATGATTTGCAACAGCAATCAGTCAGTTTGCAAAGGCAATGCAATAAACCATCTGTATGTGAGCATGGCATAACCAGTAGCTATAGTAACAGGAAAGCACACTTTAAACAAAAAATGAAAAACAAACAAAAAAATATGAGCGATATCGCTCATCTTTTCCTCCATCCCCAAATATTGCATGGCTCCATAAATATCCCCTTGTGTTCCTTCACCTAATTACATCTTCCCCCTAGCCCAAAAGAGAGTGAGATACAAATAAAACTTTATTTTGCTTGGTTGAAGGAGGAAAAATAAATAAATAATAACATACAACAAAACTAGAAAGAAAAGCTTGTCTCTTTCCAGAAGAGAAGAAAAAATAAATCTGTAAGTTGCAAATCCAGGACAGGCAAAATTGTCACTATCCCTGTTCTGCCTTATTTGCTGATACAGGATCAGCCTTAGGACCCTTGTGGGCTGTGAAATTAATTTCCATTGCTCCTTTTTTTGTCTTGTTTCCTCAGTAATCTCCCCTGCCTGCAATGAACCATCAGCATGACCACTGTCTCTCAGTTCCATCTCACATGTAAGGGTACTGCATAGTATTTATTCTTACTCCTCAAAAAGATGGATGGGGTGCAGATGTGAGGCTCACACTTTTGAGTTACAAATGGGTCTTCAGGGCAGCATTGCCAAAGGCTTCATCCAGGGCTGAGGCATCATTGACTGACTGCCCCAATCCCCAAATCCTGAGCATGGGGGTGGGTTCACAGGGCCTTGGCACCCAGCATGGGAGCCAGCCCTGGGGATGCGAATTCTGAGGAGCCTCCCTGCTGTGCTGGACACACACACACACAAACAGCCCCTGTAAAGCAGCTCCCACCTGAGGCAGCTCTGTGGGTGCAGATCCCCAGGGATCCAACTGGGAGCAGTTTGGGAAGTTAGCAAGGGTTGGACATTTTCCCCAGCATGGTGCTGTGCTGTCTACAGAGATCACTTCAGACTCTGCAGCAGTAAGGCCACGTGTTGGTACTCGTGACACATCTCACTGCTACACAGAGCTGGAGAGCAACTTCTAATAATGCAGAATAGCATGGGGAACTTTTAAAACACAGATATGAAAAGAACCTTCTGCAAGTTCTTGAGAAGAGCTCTTGAATCTGAGTGGACTGAATCAAGGTATTATAGAAAATATGGGGGTTTTTTAACCATTCCTCTAGAGCCTGTGTAGGTGGACTTCCACAGAAAAGACCAAAATAGACTCAGGGCCTCAGCTTACTTTAGCACTAAAAAGGTCAGCAGGGTGCAAAACATTGTTCAGTAAATTATAGCACTTATACCTGTGTCACACATTTTCATTCCTGCTTTTTGAAATACGCATGTCAAAATAGATAAACAATACAGACTCAGTTCATACCCCAGAAAATTATTTTATATAAATTAAAAGAAACGAACTTTGTTTACTGCAGTATTACCTTCCAAAAAATTATTTTTTTCTTATTTGACACTTCCTTCCTTGAGGGAGTAGAACTATTCCATATATCTCTTAAATGCATACAAATTTGTTAATGTTCTCAATAAAACCCACCTGAAATAGATTTCCTTCTAATCAGTGAAGTAAGTACCCATGCAATAATTATTATTATGCCTGATTCAATTTTATACATTGACATCTCTCCATTGTTCTTGATTAATGGTTAAAACTCTCTAAGGTTGTTATAAAACACTGTTATAAATAACTTTTATTATTTAGATACATAATAAATGTGATCTCTACAAATGATGAATTATATCCCACTCCTTAATTACAGAGTCGTCTGAAATCTAATTTAAATAGTAGCTAAGCAGATTAAATTTAAAAACAAGAACAATAGCAAGGCAGTTGGCAAAATGATAAATGTATGGAGTTCTTTTCTAAGCACTGTATAGTTTTTCCACAGACTGTTTTGTAAAGTATAATCTTTCTCAATATCTTATTAGACCGCTGTAATCTGGATTTACATATTGATTCATTCTGTTTCAATGTCAATCAAAACATGAAAATTTAATAAAAAACAACTCTAATTGTTCCTCAGAGACTTAGCAATAATTACTCACATGCCATCTCTCAGTGAAGGAGATGTCTTTAACATGCTCTGTTTTCCAAGCATAACAATTGTACGTTTCTTTTGGGCACTGTGTACTTCTCAAATCAGCATTTCACTCACCAAGATGTTGAAGGCTGCCTTAACAACATTTCACACAGGGGCTACACTTGATAAAATTGAAACTGTATTCTGTCAACAATAATTATGTGGGTGTTTTGCTCATTTCCTGCTATAGCTGTCCCATGGCAACAGAGTAAAAGCAGTGCTCATTTTTTAAATACATAAACGACTCCTTAGATGACACATTTCTGGCTCAGGTTTGGCAAAGGCACGGTGAAAACAAAGACTTTTTTGAGAAACTATCACAACTACTTCCACTATATGCAAATCTGTAGGGAATGTGCTAATTCCCAAGTGGAGGGTGCAGCTTTGGTCTGGTAGTAGCAGTAGTGGCCTGAGGCATTTCCAGAGATCAATAGCAAGGCAACATTTGCACTTCAGGCCATTCTCTCCACTTTTTGGTGGATTTCACAAGAAATGCCTGAACCAAAGGTCATTATTCCACTTAACCCTGCCTTTGGAGTTGTTGCTGCTAAGGAAAATCAGATAAAATCCAAGTTCCACTTTTTATCGGAATTATGTCCATCTCGAGTGCTGAAAAAACAGCTGGCAGTATTGATGATTTATTTTGTCATATAAACTCGGGAAAATAATTATTTTGGTACATGGGAAATTAGCTTTGCAATTTTCAGTTTTAACAGTTTTGAGAATATTTACTTTTCTAAGATAATTTTGTGGCTTGTGAATCAAGATGAAGATAAGTAGGTATTGTACAGACAGTTCGTAAAGCAGTTACAAGATAAATTAGGATACTGCAGGTTTTACCTTCAGATCTGTGAACATCTAAGCTCTGATGTAGTAAAACCTGATGGCACCTACAACTCCAGCCATTCAAATATTATCTTCACTGAGAAAATTAGCAAAAATGATACCATTAAGGTTATTTTTTTCTTACTGTGAGCACCCTGACTAAACTTGTTTCATTTAAGTTGATACTAATGTAACAAGAAACATCTGGAGATTAACAACGTGGATCAGATTCAGGCTGGATTTTTAGAAGGAACCATTTAATAACTTACCATATGTCCCTGGAAATATCCTTTCTTTTAATTTTAACATTCTAGAGGGATTTTAAGAACAAAATGTAGCACTATTCAAGTGTAAGATCCATAGATATATGTAAGATATATGCATTTAAGCTATGTCTATAATAGAGTTCAGTGCACAGCTGTTTTGCCCTAGGGAAAATAAACACAGCTCAAAGTAAGGCAACATATAATGTCAAGCTATAGATTGGTATATTAACAAAACCCAATGCTCCTGAAATGTTGAGAGTGAATCTTACACTAACCACATCAATTGTCTTTTGTATAGTCACATGGATGTAAAGGAAACCAAGAGTGTTTGCTATCAGCATCTGATTAACCACTGAATTCTAACCATAGTTTTGGAACAAAGAACAATTTCATTTGATGCCAACCATTGTCTGTAGCAGTGAAACAGCACAGTTTCCATTAGAGGACGATGAATTTTAGTTCTGATAAGATGTGGGGATGCAATGTTAACCTAAGCCAAATGAATATTCATATAGGAAAGTGAAAATAGGTGTCAAGGACTTGCTGCACTTAAGTCCTTGGTTACATGAAAACTGTACACCATTCAACAAAACAACAAGGTTTCTAGTGATTACTTTCCCCATATAATTTATTCATCTATTCCAGAGCAGTGTTTCGGGGCTTAATGAGTATTTGTAAAGCTCTGGCTGAAATGCACTCTGTAAATGCAAAACATTATACCATTTACAAAGAATGAAGTAGTGTAGATTACTGGTTCAAAAAAGCCACTAAAGCTCATCAACATGTGCATTTGAAGGGTGTATTACTTCACCAGCTAGGAAAGCCCCCTGTTAATGTCCTGTACAGTTGAAAGACTGTGTGCTTCCTTCCCACTGAATCCACTCTAATATGCAGAGACAAAGGAAAAGTTGAGGAACTTTGTCTCTTCTCTTATTTCGTCCCATTTCAGCCTTATTTTTCCCATATGGGGAAATCCCATTTCACATCTCAAAGAATTTCTAGGAGAATAAATAAACAATATTAAGCAGCAACAGTGCTTCCTTTGGAAACAGCTTTTCTTCATTTCTAAAAAGTTATAGTTGTCTTACTGACTTGGTCCAAATCTCTTCTCTTTGTCCTGTGAGTTCAAGCACTTTTATCACAGTCACTAACATCAAGAGGAGAGTGCTGGAACACCAGGATAGCTGAGCTCTTTTGGCCCATCTCTGCCACCTTGGCATCTTATTCATAGAATCATAGCATGGTTTGGTCTGGAAGGGAACTTAAAGACCATTTGGTTCCAATGCTCCCATGATGGGCAGGGACACCTTTCCCTAGACTAGGTTGCTCAGAGCCCAGTCCAGTCTGGCCTTTAACACCTCCCAGGAATGGGGCATCCACAACTTCCCTGGGCAACCTGTTCCTGTGCCTTACCACCCTCACAGTGAAGAACTGAAGTCATCTCTTGTTCCTTGCTTGCATGGTCATGTTTCTCCTTGGAAGATCATTAAATGTCTATTAAAAAATGAGATTTTCAACTGTTAATTTTCTTAAACTATAATTTTTTTCCTCTGTACTCTATGATAGTTCCATTATCACTAATAATAAAAACTCATTTAACATAATGATAGTAAAGAATAGTTCCACTAATTCTAGAGGAAATCCAGGACTTCATAAGACCAGGGTTTAGCATGAAAAGAGAAAGATTAGCCACAATAAAGATTCTAGGATTAAGTAACCCTTCTTTCCATGTTAAGTAACTGTCGCCCAAACACTTTTTCCTGTATCCTGCTGTGCACAATAAATGAGAAATCAGGAAAGGCAAAACCTTGGCTTTTAATATCTCTCACCTTTCTGCCCATTAGCCCATCTCTCCCACACCTGTCAGTGGTGGCTATTTCTAGAATGACTCTTACTTTGCTCATACATGGCTTCTACTGCATCTTGGGACACGGGAGAGGGAACAGTTTATATTTATATGGGTCAATGTCAATGTACAAACAAAAGATAAAGCTGTCAGTGGTTCATGGCAGACTCATGGACAGAAAAGGATAGACATTATTGCTACGTTCCTTTTATTAAATGAGCCAACTTGGAAGTTTAACGCCATTTTTCCTCATTAGCCAGGCATAGTAACTAGTTTGGCTAAAATAGAACCTAATAAGCAGGAGTCAGTGTGAAGACTGGATTCTGTTGGGAAGGAAAAATCAAAAAGTTTTAAAAAATTGCCCAGGAGAAACACGACTGAAATTCCAGATTATACCAATTTCCTCAGCAGTACTGTACTGTATATGCAGATAATATTTATAGAAACTAGCATCTCTCAGAAATAGGCATTATGTTAATTAAAATGTGTTATAGCCTAAGATTGCATTTTATTAATTCCTGTTTGCAAGAAGGTCATGTCTAATGATTTCCTCTCAGAGTTACTGGTTTTAGCAATTAGACCATTAAAAATTTTGATTCTTGTTTTACTTGTAAAGTTATTCAGATTCTTGCAAACGAGTGCCAATTCCCTGATCTTTCAGTGTTCTTTTTAAGTTTTTACCCCAGTGGGATTTTCTTTTTCTCAAGGGAAAACAGCTGCACATACAACATCAGGAACTGTAATTAATTTTGCATCAGTCTAGAGTAAAAGCCATGTGTCCAGATAACCAGGATACTCCAGCACTACAAATACCCAGGATAAATTACTGTAACAGCCCAATACCATTCTCAATTGCCTTATCACAGCTTTACCACAGCTGGTACAAATATATAATTCCTTGTGAAGACTCAATGTTGAATCACACTGTAAATGCATATTAAAATATGTATGACATTTACAGAAAATCACATATTCAAAGTGATTAAGGAGATGTGAATTAAAAAATAACACCACCTTTATTTAAATGCCTTGAGGAGTGGGAACATCCTGACCACTGTCAAGAGAGTGCGTTAAAATCTCATATTTTAAAACATTTTGGTAGCATGCAGAAACTCTGTAGAGAACATCAGAATGGTTAGATGGACAGGCAGAAACACAAAGACACGTTACCAATTTATCTGTTTGAATAACAGGCAATGGTTTGTCATGAATCTGTTCAGAATACATCTGTGTCTAGTATCACTAGTAGCACTAGCACGTAACACACAGCATATTCCACCCTTCTAAGCAACATTAATAAGTCTCAAACCCTTCTAAGTAATACTAATTAATCACATTACTGACATGAGTTCACAGAGGGATCAAACTGAAGGGAGCTAACCAGTTAAACACATGTAGTCAGTGCTGGGAGGAGTGGGGGGAGCTCAAGTTTCTTTGAAGTTCATCTCATCAGCTGTATAGATATCATGATTAATTCCTCTAGATTTACTGGGAGGACATCCAGTCTTGGAGGCACTGAAGCACATGCTCAACTTGACTTAGATTCAGCCTTTGAAGTCAATCAGGATGTTCACCCAGGTGACAGCAGGTATGTGAGCACATGCCTATAACATCAGGGTCTCACAGTCTCAAT